GTAAATTTTAGAATATTGTTAAGGATGAATTACTGTTGCTGGTAAAACAAATCTTCATTATATGTCATATTATTAAAGGAATTAACTCAACCTTTCTGACCTTGATTATGAAAAAATATGTGATCTCTAAGCTTACAGATATCATATCTATCAACTTGTGTTATCGAGTGTTTATAAAATTCTTGCTGAGCACCGCAAAGGGTCTTCCTTTTTTCATCTTAACCTCACAATCTGCTTTTATTCAGGACTGTCAAATTACTAATAGTGTTCTAGTGGCGCAAGAATGTATCCATTCTCGAGTGCTAAGTAAGAAGCCGAGAGTTTTGCTGAAATTGGATATAGAAAGGGCATATGATAGGGTGGTGTGAGCGGTGCTGTTAGATATTTTGAAGTTGATGGATTTTGGAGTGAGATGGAGGAGTTGGATTTTTGGCTGCCTTTCTTCAGCTCATTTCTTTATTCTCTTTAAAGGGAGTCCCATTGACTTTTTCAATGCTTCTGGAGATCTTCGCCAAGGTGATCCACTCTCATCATTCTTATTTACCATTTATGTATAATGTTTTAGCTTAATGTTGACTAGAGTGGAAAGGGTAGGAGCCTTTTCGATGTTCAATATTGCAAATTCTAATATTACGGTCTCCCACTTACAATATGTTGATGATACACTTATTTTTTATAATACGAAAGCACTACAGTTGGGTAATATCGCAAGATTTCTTGAAATTTACGAAGTGACCCTGGGGATAAAAGTTAATTTCCATAAGTCATCCCTAGTGGGTATAAATTGTACAGAATCATTGGTGAATAATCTGATTGTTTTAGTGGGGTGCGAAGTGGGTTCTTTTCCAATCACATATTTGGGTTTACTAATTTCATATTTAAAATTTTCTATTACGATTTGGGATAGGATAATTGAGAGGGTGCAAGTCAAACTTGATCTTTGGATGGTAGGGTTACGCTTTTAAGATCATGTTTGGCCAACCTTCCAGTGTACCAGATGTCAGTGATCCAAATTTCAGCTTCAGTAGGGAAAATAATTGAAAGGATGGTAATAGACTTTTTTTGGGGTTCGTATGGTGAGAATAAGAAATTCCATTTGTTAAGATGGGATAGAATTTGCAACCCCAAGCGTGAAGGTGGATTGGGTATTCAGAATGTTAGAATGTTTAACCAAGTTCTCTTGTGTAAATGGTGGTGGCACAACACGTACTTGAAATATCATCTTTGGTACCAAGTTTTGGTTTTTAAATATGGGTTGGATTGTTATGATTTATGGGCTAGTGGTGGTAAAGCTAAGGAGACGTCTTATATGTGGCGAGCTATTTACAACTACAGGCCCATGATTTCTGGTTACTTTAGGTGGAATGTTGGAAGTGGTCGACATATTTTGTTTTGGCATCACAAATGGTTTGGGGAATTTTCTCTTAAATCTGCTTTCCCTGATTTGTTCTGTGTGGTTCCTAACCCAAATTTTTTGATTTGTGAAGTAGTGGAAAGGAGAGGCCAGCGGTATTCATGGAATATATCTCTCAAATATAGGCGTTTAAATAATTTGCTATTTATCCCAATGGTGCTCGCTGATGGAACTCCTGGGCAAAGTGTATATTTCACAAGATGCAGATGGTATGTTAGTGTGGGAGATTGAATGTGATGGTAACTTCTCAGTAAAATCTTGCTATAATTTGTTTTTCCATGATCGGTGGAGATGGTCATATCCTAATATTGCTCAGATATGGAAATGGCCAATACCCTATAAGGTTCAAGTATTTGTTTGGTTGGTTGTGCATGACAAAATCTTAACTATTGATAATCTTCAGAAAATGGGTAAGATTCTGCCAAACATTTGTTTATTTTGTAAACAAGACGGGGAATCAATAGCTCATCTTCTCATTTACTGCTCCTTTACTTCAAGAATTTGGCATTGGTTAATGGATTTGGTAGGAGTTTCCCTAGTGTTGCCTCTTATTATGCTTGATTTTGTTGCTCAATTCACGCTCCCCTTTTTGCCTAAAGTTGGTTGTGCAATATGGAAAATTGCAAAATGGTTGATCTTGTGGGAAGTTTGGAAGAAGAGAAATAGGAGAACTTTTGAGGGATCTGTTTTGCCCTTTGACAAGTTAATCCACTTAATCAAACTTTCTATTTGGTCAAGTCTCTCGGTGTCTAAGGAAGGATGGGGGATCTCAAAATTTGATGTTATGGTCAATCTCTCTAATCTATTTTCTCTTGGTGTGAGTAGATGTCGGCCTAAGGGATTGTGGTTTGCTCCGCCTATAGGTTGTCTGGAGCTATTTTGATGAGAGCTCTTTTGGGAACTGGGGCCCAGTTGGTATTGGCGGTGTTATTTGTGATTATTTTGAAAATATTGTTTTATCCTATGCAGGACCAATTGGTACTGCCACTGCTAATTTTATGGAATTAAGTGTCTTGCTTAGAGGTATGAATATTTTAATTGAAGGAGACTCTCCAAATGTTATTAGGTGGTCCAAGAAGGAGCAAAAAATATCGTGGGAACTTCGATCTTTATGGTTATAGGTTATGGATGCTATTGCATCTATATCTATATATTTTTCCCATGTTTACCGTGAAGCTAATGGTGTTGCTGATACATTAGCAAAGGGTGGCGTTTCTCTTGGTTTTTTTACTATGTCTGACGATGTAATTTCATTTTAAATTATGAATAAAATTATTGAATGTTGGTAGAAAAAAGAAGAAGGTGGAATTGAGGCCCAAATTTGTTGTTTCACAGCCTTAATGTTATGACGGCAAGCCCACAAATCAGAGCCCGGTGGCATTCGTTACGATGAATTAGGAAATACAAATGTCTCAGTGAAAAAAATATCCCTTCTATAACCAACCATGGCATTTTGATGGGAAGACTAACCAGACAAGTGAGAGTGTATTTACATTTCTGGACTGTCCAAAGTCAGCTGTAAATGGCAAATGAGAGGTTCAGGTGCTAAAAAAAAAATGTATTTGAAAGTGTCATTATGGAGAGAAGCATCATAGAAAACGTAGATGTTCTAAAAAAAGCCATTGCAATGCACTAAGAGGCAATCATCACATGAATTCATGAAATAGACACGTTGCAAACATGGGATGTGGAAATGATCTTTACCAAGTTTGGGATACAATAGATTAGATTGAATTGCAGCATGATGCTTTAATATCCAATCTAATAGATTGCTTAATGCAAATGTTTGGAAGGAATAACTTAGATGGGCTTCCAAATTCACAATGCAACTACACTATGATCCAGCTAGGCTAATTTATTTGACTTTCCCAAAATGGCATTTCTAACTAATGCATCAAAGGAAACCATGTTTCAACCACCAAAAGAATATTCGTAAAGGAATTTGCTAAAACAGCAGTACATGGTGTCAACTCCACAATCAATTTTTTGTTGTGTGCCAAGGATTTGGGGCTGAAATGCCTAGCAGTTTAGATTGAATTGTAGGTGCACTTTTAATCATTATTAAGAGCAAATGGAATTGGCAAAGAGCATGGAGATCTCTTGGCTGTTGAAATCTAATGACCAGCCAGTGGTGGTTATGTTGGTGGGGAAAGCATGTCCAAGAGTTACTTATGGTGTAAAAAAGTCGCAATCACTTCTAGCTATCATGTGAAAGCCGAGGACAAGGGGTACTATTATCTGTTATACTCAAAAGTCTTAAAAGAAAAAAAGATATTGGACACGTGGATAATAGACAAACCCTAACTCTCCAATTTTAATAGACAAACCCTAACTCTCCAATTTTACATAAGATTGGGGCATTTGTGATCTTTTTTGTACAAAAGGTAATAGTTTCATTATATGCAATTCAATCTCCCAATGTAAATTTATGGTTTGGAATTGTTCAAATTTAATGGTGAAAGATTCCTTTCATGGAATGGATGGTATTAGGCATGAGCATTAAATTGGCACAAAAAAGTTACAATCACCGACGCGAAATCTAATAGTTTGGAGTGTCACACAATTCATCAAACTTCTATCATAAAAAAAAATGATTGTCATAATACTTTGAGCTCAATCAATGGCATACCCCTAACCACCTGATTTAACATCTAATGGATGAAAATAATTGTGACCTCATCGTACTAATAGTGCATAATCTTATTGTAAACTCTCTTTGTGGAGTACAGTAGCACAAAATTCAGTTTCATGGCTCAATTTGGCAAGCTCCCCAGAATCTCTACACTTCATACAAAATACTTATCCAGTTATCCAATAGTACATTAATATTATCCAATAATATCATTAGAATGATATATGAAAAATTCAGATGTTTAGCATTAAGAGAAGAAACACTACCTACACGGACAGAAATTCTCAAATTAAGATGTCTCATTAGCCAGCAAAATGCTCAATTCTCATCATTTTTTTAGATTCTACTGTTGAGGAAAAGTTGATACAACAAACTGAAACTTTGATCCCAATTTTAAACATTTTAGAAACCAGACCGCCCCCTAAGTCAAATACATATGGAATCAACCAATGTTGTTAAACAATGAGATGAGGAAGCAATTGGCTTCTAGCTCCGTGTGGCGTGTTGACAGTGCAATTAGATAAGAAAGACTATGAAACATTCATGATAGGGCTCAATGCAAAGAACTCTTGAACCAAGATTGTTACATCCAAAATACCTACCACTTAGACTATGTGATAGATGTTAAAAAACAAAGTTATATTATAAAAAATTGTCTACAAAAAGAGTATTTATCTTTTGTACATGAAAGTCACAATCATCCTTCTCTTCAATATCAAAATGGATGGTTGTAAGAGTCATTGAATAGATAGTTTTTAAAGGACCTCATTTGCTTACTCAAAATAATGCTTGTATGGAAATGTTTAGTCGTATTAACATTTTTTGTTGTTAAGTACCAGGAACTTGAGATACATACAAAACACGACACTCATGTCAGTCTATGCAACAATACTTCTAGCCGTAAAGTTTTTGATAGGAAATACCTCACCCAACATACTATAAATTTGCACCGTATAGCCCAACAGCCTTAAGGGCTTTTTGTGCACCCCTTCTCATATACTTGTAAAAACATTTACAGAAATGAAACGAAGTTGACATTAAAAGAGAAAAAGACTTAGCTTCTAATCAACAGACGAGTCAAATGCACATCTAATCTGCTTAAACAAACCGTCAAATGGACGTCTAATTATGGCAGACATTAATTTATAGCATCTATAATTCTAGCGTACAAATGCAACAATCCCTTCACACAACTCATAAATCTTTGAAGCTCTCAAACCATGTCCACTGAAAATCTCCTGTGTGGGAATTCATACACTCAGAAGGATTGGCCCAAACAACGGAGGGATCAGATGAACCAACAAGGGAAGGAAACTCCCATGCTTCTTCTCCTCAAGGCCTCTCTCTTCTGTTCATATCATATTTAACACACACATCGGCAGCTGTCTTCATCTGACCAGAGTTCTCAACAGTAAGATAAAAGTCAACCCAGATTCAAAAACTGCATTTTGGTTAAACAAATAAAGAAAGCACTTGCAGATTTTGAAGGAAACTATCAATTATACCAAGATGCAATCAGCTATTTAATAGCTACAAACGAACAAAAAAAAAAAGATGGTTTAGAAGCACAAAAGAAGGATCTGTGTGCGTGAGTGTGTGTGTGTGTGTGTGCGTGCCAGCCAGCAAAGAGGGGGTGATGGAACTTTTTTTGCTAGGAAAAAATAGTGTCTTAAACACTTGGTTGCTAGTTCCACTCATATCAGTAAGTATCCCTCCAACAAATGTGTGGTATAATTGGGGCTCCAGGATTAATGTTTCCATTAATTACTAAGTGAGAGTTAAAATAGCAAAAAACTAAAAGCGGAAATAGCACTACCTAATCGATAAAAGTGATTATGTGATAGGCTTAACAGATTGGCTCCAACAAGTTTCCATATTGAAAAACCCTCATACACAAATTGAAAACAGAAACATGGTAACCAATTCACATCCAAGTAACTTGCCCTAATGGCATTCTACTAGTTAGCCTTTTCTTTCCCCCATCTTTGACTAGTTATCCCTATTGAACATCACCCATAAACGTTCTCAGGTAAAGCAGAGTTCCTAAACATTGTGAATGAGCTTACCTGTATGACATTGACCACTTGTTTGATAGCCCATCCAGGCAGTGCTATAAGAGCCGGAACAGAAAGAACAGCCCCTTGCTTTGTGGCATTCACAAGAACCTGCACAAAACAAAAAACCCTAAGTCATAAACAGTTATTCATCAGCTCCTTATGGATATGGGAACAAACTCAAATTGCAAATGTTACTCACATTAATCACACTTCCCGACTCATTTGTAGAAAGAAGAAAGAGGACAATATAGAGAACCTGCACAAAATGTAATTCCGGTAAAAAATTGACAAATGCGTACCTAAAATTCATCATTTTCTCTCTTCTTCATTCTTTTCTAATAGAAATTATCAAGAAAGGACCACTACCTCAGATCCAACACAGCAGTATCCCATGAACAAGCGGTGCCCATAGTATGCTCTGAGCAGCCAACTTGTGCTATCTTTGACATCTTTGTGGCTAACCTTACTTGATAAAAATGTACTGCAAGCGCAAACTGTGAAAAATAAGTAAATTTGAAAGGAATAGCAATCATACATGTGGACAGCAATGCATATGATAGTCTAATTTGATTCTTCCCCACATGATCTCTCTCTCTCTCTCTCAAAAATAACTCATGATAGAGGATTAATTTTCATAAGTGTTCACAATATGAATAAGATAGCAACATGCAGAAAAATCTCTTTTTTGATGGTTAACAAAGCAGTAAAATTATCTTAAAGTGCAAAGGATTTTCTAGTAAAAGCCACAATTTTCAATATAGGAATTCAATAAAAACGGCATGAAATCTAAGAGAACTTAACTAGGTGACAACAAGAAACAGCAGTTGGATCTTTTTATCAATTATAAATTTAATAGTTTTTATTCCAGAAATTTTGTAGTTCCTAAGAAAGAAAAGTCACCTGTACATTTGTAACCAGTGGCTAGCAATATCCAAGGCAAGCAAAAACAAGAAGAAACCAAAGCAAGATCTGCAAATGAAACTATTTAATCAATTGCTCACTTGATAGAACGCTAACAAAATAGGCACATCACACCAGGTAAAATATTTTACACTAGATAAGAAATTCACTTAGATCATGGCACCCAACCTGTAGAAATGAGACAAGACCACCAATAGACAGGCAGTGCTTACCCTGGACAATGGAGCACAATTTCAGTAGGTAAAATAACGTTTTCACAAAATATATTCCCACAAAAACTTTTGAAGCAGTAAGAGAACCACTCTAAACATGTGTTAACCAACACAAGCAAAACAAAAAAAGAACAGATATAACGACCACCAAACTCTCTCTTTTTCTCTCTCTCTCTCTCTCTCTCTCTCACACACACACACACACACACACACACACACACACACACACTACTACTACTTATAAGTATACGTACTACGTAACGATACTACTCTCTCTCTCTCTCTCTCTCTCTCTCTCTCTCTCTCGCACACACACACCTCTATTATAAGACGTAACCTTCGAAGAGGTACAGGAATAAAGGTGCAGCCCAAGTGAGAAACACCTAACCATCTTATGGTGGACGGAGACCCTGCACACCATTGGATGGGTACGTAGGTTCATCCCCACTCTGTTTATTGGATGGTGGAATGACACTACCCACTGATCCAACCGTGTGCAAGGTTTCCCTGGACCATGACACAGCAGGAGGAGCCTTATGCAAGCATTTCCCCAAAACACAATGACATAGAGTAAATAGAGAATTAGGACTAAATCAAGTTCATGGCATTGTTACCACACTGAACTCTGAAGTTAAAGAATAGACGGGCACCTATCCGTTACCATGTCGAGGACAGCTCCAAATGTTGACACTGAAACAGAAAACGAGCATCAACAAATGAACGCAAGATAATAAAATCAAATTCAAGAGATAATTCGCAAAGATTATTATGCTATGCATGTAAGTTTCAACATTTATTCAAATGAATTATGGCATGCAATAATTCTGACTACTGCAACAATCATCATCAAATTACCACATGGGTCTGAAACTTTGAATAGAGTTTCCAAATAAGGGAACTGTAACAGTTTACAATGTAGAATCTGATGCATATACAATTTTCAGATCCTAGGTCTGAGTAACACCACATCCAAAATACTGTTACAAGAGGAAGAACATTTGTTAGGAGAAGCAGGTACGAACTACGATATGTGATCTCCCAAGTGCATAAAACTAGAGTTCTTGTACTGTTCACTAGGTCACTCGTCCCGCCTCCATCACCATCACACAAACACAGACCCCCATGCCAACTTCTGTTCCTTAATCATAAAGAATTATCAACGCCCTCCCTCCTTCCCTATCGCTGCAGCTGCATTTTCACTTAAGAGTACGACAATACTGCCAGAGCCAAGTGTAAACAACTTCTGTGCCAAATCATTCAGCTGTTATTAGAACGTGTTTTGCCAGTGTATGCTCAACAAAACAAATTATAACAAGCCCCATATGCTCCCTAGTTTTTCAATATCCCTAAAATACCCTTCATGCAGGTGATCTGGGACAATGTTAGAGAACAGAAAACTACTAAGCTTATCCTCCAGTTATGTAGAGTCAAATTTTCAGATTTGAGAAGAGAGTTGACCATTTTAATGATAAGATAGACATAGGTGTATATTAGTCAACTCAATGAAATTACTCGATAAAAAGAAAATTCAATATTAAATGCTTATCAGGAAAAAAATAAAGAAAAACAATACCAAAAATAAATATCAGAGAAAAGGAGATATCTTCCATTTTCAATTAATATCATTTTAAACAAATAAACATACAACCATAATGGAAACAAAAACCTACACTAATTTGACATCCTACCCTTTCATTAGTAACACATACTGGCACAAAGAAAATAAAAATGCTAGATTGCATTTAACCCTCATTAGTGTTTCCAAGATCACCAACTCTACTTGGGTATACCTGCTTCAATTTGGTTTGACCACCCAGCAAGTCTTTGCATGTTTTCTAAAACTCTGCTCGGTTTTATCATTCCATGTAGGTTTTCAAATTGACTTGGCCTCATTCACTCTTTCTTCCTAAAGTTTAAATTGATTTCAGAGAGCATACGGTGTACTAAGGCTAGGCCGAGTCGATTCAATAAGTTCTGCTTGGGAGCAGGTTGAGTTCTGAGCTAAATCTGAGCTTAAAAACATTGATCCTCATCAAGTAGACATCTCCACCCACAAGAGAAAAGATTATTATTATGACACTGAATGATGTGAGAATTACAAAAGTATTGACATGTTTTGAAAGTTGATAACTAGACTCTGTAAGATCAACTAATAAGGCAAGGTACTCATCTCCAACACCAGTCACCAAATCAGCACTATGAGATTGTCTACAAATAGAAGCAGGCTCTTGTCACCTCTTAGGATGATAGAGAGAATGAAAATGGAAATATCAGCACCGATTCAGGGGCTATATGGCTTACATAGCCATTTGGATTATTTTCCCTCTCCCATACCCATAATCCTTTGGATGGACAATATCAGCACCGATTAAGATTGCATCAGATCCTATAATACACAAGCTTACAAAGCATATTGAGGTAGATGTTGCTTTATCTTAGAAAATCCACTATTGGAAACTTATCTCCACATTTATCTTCTGAGCTTCATTAGCAAACTGATCGTAACCACCCCATTAGGTTTCAGGAAAAGTGTCTGGCTATCAACATGGAGTAGACTGTAACAATCCTAAACTTTAAAAAAAAAAA